ACACACACAAAAAAAAAATAAACATAAATAAATAAATAAAAAATATATATATATACATACATACATATATATATATATATATATATTTTTTTTTTACACAAACACACACAAACAAACACACAATCAAACATATATATAAATATACATACAAAGACGTGCAAGTGGAGCAACTAGATAACTTGATTGTTCTAAGAGAGGGGAGCAGCCAGTGTGTCAGTCGCCATGAAGACTAAAGGGGGAGGAGGGATTAAGAGAAATTGAGCAATTGAATGTAAAAAGGTATGGGACTATTAGAAAATCTTTTGGTTTTGCATTTAAGCTGTGAATAATTACTTCCATTGCGTAGACTTTTACCATGAGATTGTTGTAGAGTAGGGGGAATCAGATCAGCAGAATGATTAGTAAGAGAAAGGCCTTTAGCAAATTTTAGGCAGTGGGCTGCTCTCCTCTCATAGAGGGGGTCCAAATTACAGAAAGTTCTAGCATGTTCATAGGTCTGATAGTTTTTTCCTAAAATAATACGGCAAGCACGCTTCTGAGTGGCCTCAAGTTTTGCACTAAGTGTTTTAGTGATTCCAGGGTGCCATATCACCATATTTGAGGACAGGTCTTATGTATCCAGTATAAATAGCACAAAGTTCAACTGTGCTCAGCCAAAATTTTTTAAGGTTATTAAGAATGAACATTTTACAGTGACGCCTAAGATTAAAGCTTCGTCACAAAAATCAATATGGGATTCACCAATGTAAAAACTTTGTTCTGGGATATTGCTCTTAGCAAAGCATATTTGCATGGCTTTACATTTACTAGGATTTAAAAGCAGAGAGTTATCAATACACCACTCATGAAATTGATTAAGTCATTCTGTAAGAAACCTTCATGTGATATAAGTCGATTTTCATAAAATGAGAGATCATCAACATATTTTAAGTAGTTGGTATTTGAACCCATTGCAGCCTCATTGACCATAATCTAAAAAGCTAAAGGTCCGAACTTAGTCTCTTGTGGGACACTACCCTTGAGACAAACAGAAGAAGACATAGAATTATTGTACTTAACACACTGCTCTCTTCGATTGAGGAAGTCGCAAACCCATGGGATAATCGACCTACGGACTCCAATATCAATTATTTTGGATATTAGCACATTGTGATTGATGAGGTCAAAGGCCTTAATGAAGTCCGTATGTACGACCGTCCCAATGTTGCCACTTCTGTCAGTCGCAGAGCACAGATCATGAATGAGGCGCACCAAGTAGTGACAGGTGGAGGCTCCCTTCACATTGCCATACTGTTTAATGTCAATAAATTGACTGATGTCATTAAGTATCCAGTTACATACAAACTCTTCAGCCACCTTTGCAAACGCGGAGGTAAGAGAAATAGGCCTCAACCTGTCAATACTTGGTGGCTGATTTTTAGGGATGGGTACGACAATGGCTTTTTTCCATTAGACAGGCAGCCTGCCCTCTCTAAAGGAACAATTAAGAATATTAGAAAACGGCTCGCTTAATTCAACTGCAAATTCCCTTAAAATTCTAGGTGGATACAATCCGCACTCCCCCCCCCACCCCCCGGCTTTATTTGGATTTACCTTTTTCAATTTATTATATACCTCCCTTGGCTGAATTTTGGGAATCCTATCAACGGAAGGAAGATAGGCAGGAAGCTTGTTATAATCTAAAGGTGGTAACTCACAGGCAATACTGGTGAATTGGTTATTTATTGCATTAGCAATCCCAACATGATCTGAGGGCAAAAGACCCAGAACTGGAACATTGAGTATCTTATTATTACCCATATATGCCATGGTCTTAATATGTGTATGCCACTTGCGTGGTTCACTACACTGTAAGTGCTTAACACGATTACAAAAATAAATGGCTTTGAATTTAGCAACTTCCCTCTTAACTGCATTTCTAAGTTTCCTCCATTCCGTAGTGTTATTAAAAAGGCTAACTGTCTGCTATCAATTAAGTCTCACAGGACTTGAGTAACCCAAGGTTTATCCGACTTATGGATCTTAACTACTTTAATTGGGAAAAAATCATTAATAGGAGTGTCCAAAAGTTAATACAACTTATCCATTTTCCCTTGGGTGGTAGAACAGCAATAAAATCTGACCAGTCCTGGCTGAAAATCGAAGTTGCAAATTCTTGTTGGATAAAAAAAACGAACTTTGATTTTGCTCACAGTATTATTTACAGTTCCGATCTTGGGTTTCCACAAGACGGAAAGGTGGTCACTTTTCCCTAGAGGAGCAAAAGCAGAGGGTGCACAAAAAATTGTCGAGGTTAGTTAGTATCAAATCCAATGTAACGTTGCCACATGTGTGAAATTTAACGACTTGTTTAAGACAGGTTCCGATTATAATGTTGTACATGTTCATCCGGTTGAAATCTCCCATCACACAAAAACCTGTTTCAGGTGACCGTGAACGAACACCATCCATGGTTTCAATCAGATGATGTTCTAATAATGCTTGATGTGGAGAATTAGTAACTATGTAAACACCGCACAAAACAATTTGTGAAATCCCCCTCGGGAGTCTATGCGGCCTTATTTGAATCAAAATTACTTCTAGTTCAGGAGGTACAACAATGTTTATAAGTGGTTGAACATTCATGTAATCTTTCAAGTAAACAGCTACGCCCTCACCACGTCTATCTTCAGGTAGAGAATAATGAATAATTAGGATGTTGACTCGATTTGAGTGATGGTGAGGTGAAAACCATGATTCGGTGATTACGACTATGTCAATTTTTCCTTGTTAAGGATGTAGTTCATCAAGTTTGTTAAGCACCGAACGTGCATTACAAAGCAGGATGGTGGGTAAATCAACTGCAGACTTCCGATCGCCGCCATTTTGCTTAGTATGGTCTGGAACTGGAATAACTGTAGATGAAACTTTAAGTTGGAAACGATATATGTCATATAACACAAATTTATTTCTAAGTATACTGGTATTCTTTTTAGACTCAAACATGTTTTGCCTCTTGAAACCTTATTTATGCTTTATTCAATTTAAAATCAATGCACATAAAACAAAAAAAGATTGTTCGTCTCGGTACACACTACCACTATCTTGCTCATTCATTATATGTTTAAAAGGTTTAAAAACCTTTACTGTTTTCGGCATTCATAAGCTACATATTACTTTATTTATGTGTAAATTCAATAATAATCTCCTTTTAAGTATTTTTTCAAATTATTTTTAAAAATCTTATTCTGTTCATTCTTATGGAACCAGGTCATCAAATATGTATATACCACAAACATTCACTACAGATCGTACAAGAAATACATTTAAAGGACATGGGCCCATTATCTGGATTAATACTGAAAACAGTATAAGAAACTCGCCATCAACAAATTCATTTAAGTTCAAATACAAAAAGTATCTCTTGACGTGTTATGATGAGTAATCTGTAACATGTATTCTATGTTTTTAACGCTGCTGTTTCAGTAACGTATTTGTAGACCTATGATCGTACTTGAGTTGCATACCATTGCCAATGTGAATTTGTGTGTTTTGATTTTGGTTATTGATCTCTTTGTTTAATTTTTAAGGTGGCATAATTCACAATAATGCTCTACTTTGGCCTACCGTCCACAATGATATTATGGTATATGTATACAGCATCACATTATGATGGTAATATTGCTTGTTCTTTTTGTGGAGAAAAAATAAATGAGAGATGAGAAATTACTTATCTTTATCTTTTAGCTTTTTACCTGTCTTATTGTATATGTTGCATTTAATAATGCATGGAACAAAGAAATCATATTTCAAATTGTAAAATTCAAGGTTAATGAAAATGTTAA